TATCCACAAGACCTCGTTCCGTTACCAGCATGCTCATTGGGATTCACTCCGTGGTTTTCTCTGTGACGACCCTTGGACTGACATCTTTAAACTTTCAATTGAAAATTGGGCCAGCGTGACAGCTCCTGTCACAACAGGCGCCTATTCGCTGCTACTCGCAATAAACGTAAGCAAGTTCTCCAAGGAACAAAGTCCCTGTTTGCCGAGAGAATGAGGCACCGCATAGTTTCTAACAACTTTGGCTCTCTTGATTATTGGCGACTCGGTAATAGGGCATTAAATAAATGTAAGGCCTGTATTCTTCCCACCTTCAACCAATATGAGGTGTTGTCATCTGCTGATAAAGCTGAATGCTTTGACCGTAATTTTTTCTCAAACTCTGCACTCACCCGGATTATCTTTGCCTAACTTTCCTCCTAGAACTAAGTCTCGGTTGAGTGATATGTATATAACCCCTTCCAAAGTTTCTGCTATCATATCTAGCCTAGATCGCCACAAAGCATGTAACCCGATGTTATCCCTATAATAGTCATTGAGAAGTTATTGAGAAGTGTGCTTCCAAACTGGCTCCTGTTCTCTCTAAACTGTATAATAAATGTCTCGTTGCCTCCTGCTTTCCTGTCTGCCACAAGTCATCATCCGCTGTTCCAGTTTTTAAGAACTCTGGTGAGCCATCCAACCCTTCCAAATATCGGTCTATTAGCCTTCTACATCTTTTTGGGAAATTCCTAGAGGCTTCAATCAATGCTGAAATCGTTTATTACCTCTCATCGCAGGGCCTTTTTTTCAGATAAGTAATATGGTTTTCGTTTTTCCAGGTCAACTGCTGATGTACTGACAATAACTGCGTAAGAGTCTTTCATGCCCTAGATAAAAACGGTGAACCCCGGGCTGTAGCATTAGGCATCTCGAAAGCCAGGGTTTTATATCCAGGTCTTTTCTACAAGCTAAAACGTTACGGTGTTTCCGGACACTTTTATGAACAGATCCAGTCTTTCCTATCAAATCCTGAAATGAAAGTTATCCTGAACGGCCACTTGACTAGATCCTTTCGTACTAACGCAGGTGTCCCCTATAGCTCCATTCTTGGTTTTGCTGTGTTTTTAATTTTCATTAATGACCTTCGTGATGGCATCAGCTGTCAACTTGGTATCTACATTGATGACACAACAATTTACTCCTGCCTCGATAGTAAAGCTTATCAGTCCTACAAGGTCAAAATGACAACCGATTTCCAAACGACCTTAAGTTCATCATCAACTGGGGCCTTGTTAATTTTAGCACCTCCAAAACTAAACTTCTTTCCATTAATCATCTGAGATGGCTGATGCTAACCTTCAGGAAAGTGAATCGTTGTGCCTTCTTGAGTTCACGTTCTCTGCTGATAAGAAATGGAAGGGCTATATTGAATCCATTATTCGGTCAGCTGCTAAGAAAAATTTCCTGTTTGTTAATAATTTGATTAGCTATTGCAATAAGCCATATGACAAAACTTATCATCATTATTGTCATTGCTTGACCCTTATACGTCAAATACGCCGGGAGAGTCCACCATTTATTATATATATATATATATATATATATATATATATATATATATATATATATATATATATATGTGTGTGTGTGTGTGAAAAGTGTATATAAATATAAATAAAATATATATGTATAATTATATATTATATGCGCGGTACTTATTAGAAAGCGCTCAAAAAGCGTGAAATCCAGGGTCACAAACTCACATCTATCCAACCAAATATATATATATATTTTATTTTTTCACAATAAATTTGCGTCCAGGCTCTTTCAATATATCACCATTCTTGGTAGATTTTCTGTTGTCACAATGTTGGATAGTCAGTTGATGGAAAGAAAAAGAAAAAGAATTCAGATGATTTTGGCTAGACTGAAAAATATTCTTTCAAAGTTCTTAGCTATGGTACCTATATTTTAGTAATATAAGCGCAGTACTAGACTAGCGACGAGATCTCACCAATTTACGGATGAGCTGGCTAGATGTAACCGTAAGTTCTACGCTAATAGTTTCTTTTCTCGCAATTCTTGTGGAATTCTCTTCTGGTTCTATGCTTTACAGCCAACTTTAATCTTCAAAAATTTAAATGCAATGCCAATCGCTCCTTACTGTCCTCCTGTTAACTCATTTTTTTTTCTCGCTCCTTAGTAATGTTTCTGTTTTCTAATTTTTCCATATCAAGTAAAACCCTTGATTCTTAGTGGCTTTACTCCCTTGCACAGGGTGAACACGATTAAAAAAAAATACTTTTAATAACATCGACTGTCTCTATGATCATTTTCTTTACAGACACCATTATCTAATAAGAATAAAGAATTATTTACAGCACATATTCGTATTTTGGTTCGCTACGTCAATTTGGCAGTAGCAAATTAACTATTCACCTCGATCCGTGGCCTACCTTTCGGCCCTTTACCTTTCTCACTATATTCTTTCACTGAGCTTTCTCATAGAAATTTAAAAGAAAAAAAGACAGAAAGTACGTCTAGCTAATTTCCTTTTTCTTGTGTGAAATTGATGAGTGCTCTGAGGTCAGTCACGTGTCCAAAGAAACTCTTTTTTTTCACCATTGGATGAAGTATAGCAAAGGTGGTGGAGTGCATGATTGGCATTCATAGGTCGCAGGTCTGAGTTATATCCCATAGGTGTTGACTCTTTCGAGCGACAATGGCAGACCTACGGCCATATTACTCTAAAATAATACAGCTTTCAGATCAGCGCAGTATTTTGGAAGACAGCCGCGTGAAGATGTCACTTGTGTCTTTTGATATTCAATACACGCGCGGATTCCGCATTGTTCTTAGAGTAGTAGATTGGTAAACGAAAGGTCTGAAGTTTCAGTTCGCACGCCTTCTTGCCGAGCAGAAAAATAGCCAGAGGTACATGGCTGTAAATTTTGAAAGATATGTGTGATTGTTTCATTATTGACACAAGATACTTAGTTCGCTTTAATTCACTAATTTTATTTTTGTCGCTTTCATTGGTTAAAACCTATCTAGTTATCTAGTAGTTGTGAGTTCAGTCCCAGCTTGCAGTAGTGCTGAAAAGTCACATACGCTTGTTAAGTCGACGAAACGGACAAGCAACTCAAAGTAGATAAGACTAGTAGTTATTAACTGACATGATAGATGATTTCGGCCAAGTCACTTTGAAATACCGGTTTTCATATGATCACCAAAGTTAAGCAACATCGAGCCTAGTCATTACCTAGATGGGTGACTTGGGAATATCAAGTGCGATAAGCTTGGATGTCCGGTTGGTGTAATGTATAATATCTCGGAATTGTTAATTGGAGAACCGAGTTCCAATTCCCGTTGGGTTCGTTACATTCCCTTACGCGCAAATACGCTTCGGAAAAGTATGAATCCACCACTTCTTCTCCCAGCTATGGGGTAATTAGTAACACTTATACCACTAAAACAATCTAAAATATACTTACAATCTAGAAGCATTTTCTTTCTTTATATAACCTGTAAAGGGCTTATAAGCCGTATAAAACGAATCAACCCATTAATATGATAGGAGATATTCCTTAAGCGAAAAGAGAAAATTTACCCTCGAGGATTGAATAAATTGCTTGTACGCCTACGTCCACGCGAATCTGAAGATAAGTAGATAGGTATATATATATATTCACATTTACTCTCACGCTTCCTAAACGATACCCCATGCATGCGCACGCGGAGCGCGTGCATACATGCACGTATTTCTTTCATAATACAGCGTAACCCGGATATAAGAGAGTTGTCGGGACCGGAGAAGAAGTCTCTTATATCCGGGTTTCTCTTATATCCGGGTTTGGTCTATTTTGTTTAGGTAAGTATGGGAACACTTTGGGACCAGAGAAAATCTCTTTTATATCCGGGTTTCTCTTATATCTGGGTCTCTTATATCGGGGTTACACTGTACATTTCCGAAATGTATTTTTCGATATTAAATCTAATAGGGAGTTTACTGTAGTGTCATAGTTAACATATCATGTCTCCCAGACCAGCTCATAAGTGTAGTTAATTTGATAGTCAGTGTCGGACCAATTGTTGTGCCGTTTTAAATATATTAAATTACATGAAATTATTGTCTGAATACACTAACTGATGAACAAGTGCTCTGGGATCCGGATCAAACCCAGTGAAAATAAATGCAATTCATATGGGATGTGTGAGTAGCGTAACGGTTAGCGACGTGGTATGGGGGAACTTGGCTAGCCGAGTTCAAATTCCCTTCTAGTCATGTTGCATTCACTTCCGCACAAATACCATTAGAAGCGATAGGAATATATCCAAGTCATGGAGAAGACAACGGGGAACTACTTGATTACCGCCCCCAAGACGAGATGACAATTCATAGATATTAAAGAAAACAACCTGTGGAGGCTAATAATCGCCCTGAAGGCGTTGCATTTTTTTTCGCAAAGATACTATTAGGAAAGGTATGAATCCATCTGTTTTTCCCAATTTATTGCTTAGAAATCAGATCAAACGGGTTCTCTAGTCTTGGGTGGTATTTAGCCAAGGATAAGGACGGAGAAGGCAACGGGAAATCTAGCAAATGTACATAGCTTAAATAGCAGGGTAGACGGGCTCCCTAGCCTGGATAGTAGCTGGAAGAAGAATGCAAAAACATTGAAAAAGTAGCGAGAAAGTACTCAATTCATTGAGAAGGTAATTCAGTGGTAATAAATTGTTTGGTTTTGATTGATTCATTTTCTACGGCTTATCAACACTTTGCAGGCTATTTAAAGCCAGCAAAAATTTATATTGTAAGAATTTTTTGAGATAAAAGATATTTGTGAGATTCAGTAATACAAGTCTTATTAATTAATCAATAGCTGCTCGGAGAAGAGGTGGGTTCTTACCATTCCCAAGGGTATTTGCGCGTAAGTGAATATGACGAAACCAGCTGGAATTGGAACTCTCCGATTAACAATTCCGAGCCGTTATCAATTACACCGTCCGCACATCCAAGTTTACAGTACCTGGTATTGCCAAGCGATCACTCAACTAAGTACTGACCAAGCTCGACGTTGCTTAACTTTAGTAATCGTACGGGAATTGATGTTTCAACGTGATGTTGCCGTAAGCCACAGGTAATAAAGAAAACGAATTATATTTAATCGTTACAATTTGGGAAGAAGAGCCATGATTGGTTGAGTCTTGATTGTGTACGACCTGTAAGGTGTATAAAATATATATATCCATCCAAGAGAAAATATAATCAACTAGTATAAATTAACACGTTTGGATAAAAAATAAATATAAATATTTTTCATCTACGTTTGAAGAGGATAAACGCAACTAGTTTAAAACTGATGGAAGGAAACGGTAAAACATTTTGTCAAGCTCGACATTGAAATAAAAAATTTAGGAAAAAGACGAAACGTTTGTGACTATTGCAGCATTAATATTTACAGTACCAGGACTTCCTATATTAAATAAAAAAAGTGGTAATTGCTACAAACAACGGCAATGAAATATCATTTTCTTTAAACATTTCTTTTTAGCAAGTAAAATCACATTCGCCTATGAGATAGTGACTTCCATAAGTGTTGTGAGAATATCCTTGTGTGACGAGACAATCATATTTGTTTCGAATAAAAATATAACACGTCATTTGAGAAAGAAAAAAATAAGTAAAAAAGAGTAGATGAAAGAGACATAATTGGAATCCCCGATGACAACTTAGAAGGCCTTTCTGTTATTAGCAAACACTACAAACACTACGAAGGTCTAAAACCCACACGTTTTATATTTATCCGGTTTCTGGTAATAACATTTGATGTATTAGAAAAAAACTCACGCTGAGCAAAAGGATGGCAAACTAAGAGACGATTAACCCTATCCAAGGTCGGAGGTGCTTCCTTGCTCCTATTGATACGGGTCCTTTTTTAACGCATTTTATTTTGTATAATACGTACCGTACTGTAGTGCCACAAACATAATATCAGTAGCATCCCTTAAACAGAGTAGTAGTAGTATCAGCCCGTAAATATAGTAGCAGTAGCAGCCCTTAATAAACCTTGTATCAGCAGCAGCTCTGGAATATAGAACACGAGAAACTTAAATTGACTCTGTCTCTTCCGGGTCTTCCTCTTTAAAACTGCGTGACACGAACTTTCTACGCCGAAGCAAAAGGGCTGTGAATGCTTCTCACTATACAGATCAACACAGTAAGTCCTATTCAAATATATTCATGAACATTTCGTTGCATATGCAATTTATTTTACCAAAAGAAACTTTCCTTTTGTTGATTTTGTTTAATAAATATTATCTTGCATTGCAAATCAACTGGTCTCTTATTTTGTGTATGCATCCTTTTTCATTACAATTATTTCATGTACTATAAAATATTCTTTTAAGAAACCTTACATATTTAATTTTGAAGTATCCAATTCCCTAAAGTACCATAATACGTACGTAACTTCTTGGGCATCGTACGAAAAATTTTGAATGGAATTAAATGCAAGAAATTATATACAAGTACAGGTTATCAGAAAGTTTTACTCAACTTAAAAAGCCTCTTATTTGAAACTGTAGGATTGCAAATACGGTACGAGAGCACAAATCTTCTAAATAAATAAACAGCGAATTCAGTCTGCCAGTCCGTGTATCTGTAAGCCATCTAATTTGGGCTACACTTGCTCTACGTAGACATATAACTTTTTGGAATCAAGATGATCCCGGGATTGAAAATCTTCATTTCATCTGGTGCCTGAACATCCAGAATTTGGATTTGTGCCTGGATAAGGAGAGAACAGTTAGAAATTAAAATTTTTAGATAACTGAAAAAAATAGTGATTATAAAAGTTTTAAATTTATATTGAGTTTAAAGTAACATAAAAACTTTGTGAATATGAAAATACTTGTTTTAAAGTCAGTTTGAAATATCTCCAAAACTTTGTGAATTGAGGAAGTCAATCTTATTTCTTCAAATTGTCAAGGAATCAAAGTTGAAGTGAGGGGATTCGTGACGTGAGGTTTTGAAGTTCCGTAGAGTTTGTGATTGGAAGATCTCAACACAGTTGAATTTGTGAAGAAATCAAATTTAAGCCTGAATTATAATTTCAGCCCAAATCGGATTTTTGGCCCAAATCGGACTTTTGGCCCAAATCGGCATTTTGGCCGGAATTGGACTTATAGCCCAAATCAGAGTTAAAGTAAGGTTTTGAAGTTCCAGGGAGTCAGTTGAGGAATTCAAAGTTATTTCTTCAAAATTATCATTGCTGTTTTCTAATTTGGACCAGTGGTCCCTTTTAATCCTTCGCAGAATTTAACCCTCCGTAGGAGCTACCTTAAAAGCCTGCACGGATTGCGGCTTTATACTAGTATATAATAAATACAAAGTAGGTAGTTGTTAATAACAATTGTTTACAAAAGGTATATGATATGTCGGCAATACTTGTTCTTTAGGAATTAGCGTAATTCAACGTCTTTTGTCTCAAAGACTGGAAATTCACCGAAATTGATAAAGAAATTAATAATGGGCATACATAAGATGTGTCATGATTTGATAACATTAAATGTTGCAACAAAGGCCGACCTATTGTATAGATTATATACTTTGTTGAGTTTTTTTCCACCTGGAGAATGGGGCGATAATTACTATGCTGGAAGGTTGTTTCATATTCGTCTGTTTGTTGGCAAACAATATCCAATTTGAAAACTTCAAACAATTCAGGAAAACGATACAAAATAGGTACGTAAACGATCCTGACATAATTACATCCCTATATAAATAGTCTACACTGCTACTCGTAATTTTAAATTGCGAAATATTGCGATAATTTGTGTGGATACAACATTAGGATTTTAATGGACAATATGGTACAATTAAAAAAAAAAAACAAAAAAAAACTGACATACGGATGGCAGTACTACAGAGTTATATTATAATCAATGATATAATTTATTCCTTGTTTTTAGCTTTAGAAACACAGAGTAGTATTATACTCACGCCGTATTATATAGTGATTTTCCAAGCGTAGCTTAAATGTGGCAAAAGGCCAAAAGTAGGGGTCACCCAGTGAGGATCGAACTCACTACACAGTCGCAACTGTTCTAGCGAGACAAGCTTTCTTGCTTGCTAACTATTACATCGCCTCGAGGTTTTCCACATCGTATTATACACAAGAAAATACGGTATTCATTTGGAATCCTAGATATCTTTTGTTTCATAATTGCTGACGTCAGCTTATTTTTTATTATTGCTGACGTTGGATTTTAGTAATTTTAGAAAATTATCGATAGTATTACTCCCAATACAGGGACTTCATGACTTCAGTACGCAAATACGTCAAAAGTGCTTTCTTAGCATTGTAAACGAAGTTATTGCATTGATTCATTTGATCGATTTACATTTCAAAACCTCACGTTTGATGACAATACTGGGAGCTTGTCTGAAATAGACAGGGATTTACTAACTAAGCTCCAAAATCCAGACAGTACATTTTATTTAAATTTAGAACTATATATTTATTTTAATCATTTCACCCCAGGGCAAGCAATAAAGCCACTAAGACGCAAGGGGGCTACTGAGTGTTAAAGAATATGAGAAAAATATATCATTAAGGAGAGAAGACAATAAAATAACAAGAATTAAAAAGACAGAAGATAACGATGGACATTGCATTTACATTTTTGAAGGTCAAAGTTGACCGGGAAGCAAGAAGTCAGAAGAGATTTCCACAAGCGAGAAGTGCGACAGAAGAAACTGTTAGCATGGACATTACGGTTACATATAGTCAATTTAACTGTAAAAATGGTGAGACCTGGCCGCCAATCTAGTACTGCGCTTAAATTAATAAAGTCTAGGTACTATAGAGGAAAGTTCATCAGAATAATGTACAAGAATGTATTTAGAGAAAGGAAGCTACGTTAAGGCGGTAGAAAAGTGACTGAAGCTGAGATGTCAGGTAAGGACCTGTAATATTGCGGTTTTCTTAAATTATAATTTCTTAGAACCCCTTTAAAATACCCCCACTTCTTTCTGATGCTAACCAGTTCCATCTGTTTTCTGGTTATTTTCTTTTTCTATTCTTAAAGAGAAGACTTTGGATAAGAGAAATATGATTCTACAGAACGATGAGGAAATATTATGGACGCAACATGTGAGAAAATGAATGTTAATTAAAATGGAAACAAAATGGAAATTTTTGGTACATGCAATGAGAAAAGAAGGATTAGAGAGTTTGGCACTCACAGGACACACTGAAGCCAAGAGGGACAGAGAAAGAGAGCGAATAACCTACGCAATGAGAGCGAATAACCTACCCTAAATGGATGTTAGAATAGGAAGTGGGAAGGATAGTAAAAAAGCAAACGTTGCTAAGAGATTCGAAGGGTAAGAAGTTGTGGAGAGCCATGGCCGCCCACGTTCTTAATGAATATATAATGAGGAAAGTGGGTTTGGAACATCTGGCATTTACAGGAGATATGGAAGACGAGATTAACAAAGGGAATCAGTGAGTATCCTATTTAACAAGCTTGTGTAAATGGATAGATCACATAATGAGGGACTGGAAAATCTGACACTCACTGGACATATCGGAAGGAAGTGGGGCATATAATGAGGAAAGAAGGATTGGAGAGTTTGACACAGGACATATTGATGGCGAGGGGTAGAGAGAAAAAGAGCGAGGAGGTCAAGAAGCGAGCTTATGTAAAAGAACAGTAGATCAGAGAGTGGGTTGGATGGTGAAGAAACATACATTTCTGAGAACTACAAAGAATAGGAAATAGTGGAGAGCTAGGACCGCCTACGTCCTGAAGAGACAATGCGCACAGAAGAAGAAGCTTCTGATCTGATTTCCCGCTCTGATTGTCGCTAGGCTATGAGCGCATCTCGTTTCTTTAAATATACGAAAGAGACATCCGCTTCTAGGAAAGACCCAGGAATTGACCCCTTCACTAGAATCATAATAATGTTCTCATGTCCGCTTCAAAGAAGTTTCAAATTCTTCTATACCTGTTTCTAGAGGATCCTGTCCACACTGAGTATTCTTTATCATGTTTGACATTTAAATGCAGTAAAGTCATTTCTGGCTACTATTGATCATTCATGCGCATTGATTACCTTTTCTATC